CATGTATTTTTTAGACGTCACTTCAAAGATGAAGGTGATCATCAGTTTTGTTGTGTATATCTATGCTTGTATCTCTCGAAGGTTTAATAAATTTTCATAGAGTACGTGGATTAAAAAACCAAACCCTTAATTTGTCTCTTAGTTTAGAGAAAGCGTTCAAAACTTGGAAAATGAAACCCCTAGCTTAGTCCCTTATTCATGGGATTATCCACACAAAAATAGTCGGCAAACAATAAACTATGAAAGCATCCGCAAGAAGACCCAAATTCATACTTATGGCAAATCCACTAGCTCATGTAACTAAATTTCTTTTCAACTAGAGATTTACATATAAACATGTATTAAAAAGATCAATATAAACTATAAATTATTTTTCAAAAAATATATATATATAAACTATAAAGTAACTTTGAAAGTTGCAACTTTAAGCAGTTCACCTAATTTTTCCCTTTTATGATATCGATCCATCTATAATCTTTGAGCTTGGTGTTCCTAAGTTAGTTCCTATCTCTTTTTACTTTTCTTACAAATGAGCTATCTATCTTTGCTTAATCTTCCTTAGTATAACCCTTTGAGCTTTGAATCGATCTTTGTTTAGAGACTTCTAGCACAGCTGCACAAACTTCTGGTCGTAGCGGCAAATTACTTCCAATCAAAGCCACTATTTAGACTAATTCTTTAGAAAAAGACCCCTACGAAACCGTAATCATCAATCAAATATTATGGGTTTGAAAAAAGAGGAGTGTAGTAAGGTAAAGATATCCTAGGAGTTCTATATAATTATTATTGGTACGTAGCATTGAAAATAGGGTTATAATATGGGTGGCTGCATTCGCGTGAGGTCAAAACTCATTGTCTATTTATTTACTGATCGCGACGCACTTTTTTTTTTTTTGGCTAAAACGTATGTCTTCTGCGTGTCTAAACTTCAAACCGTCCACGATTATTTCTCGTTCTTTTTCAAATGTTTGAAAAACCATATATTTATGCATCCTTTTTGTAGAAATAGTAAGATAACTTTATTGAAATACACTTAACGGAACCGAAGAATAAGCAAGTCACTTAAAAATATATAACTCTTTATATAGTTTAATTATGGCTCCAGCCAAAAATGGAGAATTTGTTACGCCTTAAAAACAAAACTCAAATCCA